ATCGGTGAATAATCTGGAAATCCATTGGTTCCAGTAATTGTGCGACTTGTATATACGAAGGCGAACTAAGTATGTTGTATCGTTGACGAGATTTTGTAATTAATAAATAATAAGTAAAAGTAAGTGAAAATATTTAAGAAAACAAATTTTTGTTGTACGGGAAAAAGAAATTGTTTGTTGGTTAGAAAGATTCGAAGAGAAAATTAAATTATTTATTTATTTACTTTACGTTTCTTTCAGGAAACAATCTTCCAGAAAATTTATATTTGTATCTACGGATCTTTTCGATTCGTTTCATTTTGTCGATAAATAAATAGATTTTTCTTTTATCCGTATCTGTTTTTTCATCGGTTTGTTTCTGTTTTTAGGATTTCTGTTATTTGTATATCGCGAAATAAAAATCGAAAGAACAGAAAATGATTCTGCCTCTGTTGGCCGTGATGTATACCTCGATCAGTTTTGTTGAATGCATTCCGGAATTGGAATTAGTACAGATCGTAAGAAACGATTTTAATTGATAAACAACAAAGAATATCCGTCATGCAACATATGTAATATTATTCATCTCGAAATTCGTTTCAGGTATTCGCTCATAAAACGTACGCTCCAATTTCGGAATTGATAAACAGCAACGAGACGAGTTTACCGCATAATTTAACTTATGAATACTTTAACACAGCTCCGATTACCATGCCCAAAGTAAGTTCAATCTTTTTACGAAGATACGTGATGAATTTAAAAAAAAAATATATATATATATATATTGCTAATATAATCATTATAATATACAAAATTATAATATACATATATATATTTTTTCGAATAAATATTGACATTGATAAAATAAAATTTCAGCAAATCAAATTTTTAATTTAATATCTTACAATTTGATATATTCATAACATAAACATGGCAAAAAAAAGAATACAGTTAGCTTTAAACGAAACATCGAATATTTAATTGATATAACAATTTTTAACAATATTTGTTTAATTCGTCACTTGTATATACTATATATCCTAATTTACGAACGAGTGAAACTTTCGATTCATTTTACTCAACAGATCGGTATGCTTAACATGTACAATCTAGGAGTTCATTTACGAACGATATACGACGAATTTCTCGGCGAGATTTACATGCAAGAAACGGCGAAAATGCAAACGGCCGAGTATCCGTTGTCCATATTAGCTGGCCAATTAGTGAATGCGGGTCTCTGGCCTCCGGCGAAAGAGCAAAGATGGAACGCTGATATAAATTGGCAACCGATACCTACAGGTTGTATAGGAAAATGTGTGTATGCGCATGCGTGTGTATGGTGAATGAGTGAGAGAGAGAGAGAGAGAGAGAGAGAGAGAGAGACAGAGAGAGACAGAGACAGAAAAACATATTGAAAAATTATTCAAACCATTTATTAATTTTATAATAGATTATATACCAGCGCACGAAGATACATTGCTACTCGGAATACAGTGTCCAAATTTTATTCTCGAGATGGAGAAAGTATTAAATATGTCACGTGTGCGAGAAAAAATATCGCAGCATTTACCTTTGTTCAATTATATATCGAACTATACAGGGATGAATATTCGACGACCATCGGAAGTGGCGTTACTGTATGCTGTTTTCGAAACAAAGGTAAGGAATATTTAAATTGTTATAATTTCATTAAAAAATAGAAGAAATAAATGGATAGATATTTTAGGATTGAAAATATCTTAAAATTATCTATAAATAATGATTTTTTTTCTATTCTTATTCGAATAAAAAGTGGTATTATTGCAGGCCGATTTAAATCAACCGCTTCCATATTGGGCACAAGATATCTTTCCCAATGGGGGAATGTATAACGTGTCGTTGCTCGAATACGATCTCCTTTGGGAAACTTCTTTACAGAAGAAATTAAATGGTGGGGCAATCGTAAGAGAGATTTTAGTGAATTTGTTGATGTACATCAAGGGGGACGTGCCAACGAAACGAAAGCTCATGATGTACAGCGGAAACGAAAGAAATATCGTGAGCGTTTTGAAAAGTTTAAATTTGTGGTCACCACATATTCCAAACGAGGCAGCATCCGTGATTTTTGAACTTTATTTTGACAATGAAACGGAAACTTATGGTGTAAAGGTGTGTAAGTTGATTAAAATTAATAAAAATATCACTTTTACGTATGATATTAAATATTTCTTTTGATAATAATTGTAACATAATGAAATAATAATGAAATGGAATTGAAAGGAAATAAATATTCATTATACGAATTAAAATATATTAAAAAAATAATGAAAAATGTATGTATTATCGTTTCAGATTAATTATTACACGGGAATAGATGGTATCACCATTCCTTTGATAATACCAAATTGCACCAAAATATGTCCAATTAGGACATTTTTATATTCAATAATAGATATTTTACCCGAGAACACGCAACGATTGTGTCATTGTGGAAAGATTGATCTTTCTGATCAGAGTGTAATACTCAATGATATCATTTATAATAGATCTGTTTCTCATAAATTACAAAATATTATGCTTCTTATTTTATTAGTAATTACTTTATTCGTATAAATTTGTATAAATGAATGTAATCTCATTGCAAATATTCGAATAATTCACACACGTGTGAGAAAATTAAAAAAAAAAAAA